TTCCATACTAAAATTTCCATAGCATAGTACCTTTAAAAATATAGCATTTTAGAGCTTAAGAAACACCCTGTCATATTCAGCCTTCACAATAAACCTATGATGCAGATATCTCATTTTACAGATAATGAAAATTGAACCTCTAAGCAAATTTGTAGTTTGTCAAAGTACAGCTATTGTAATCAATAGCAGACAGGTCTCTGACTCCAAGTCTTTTAACTTAGCCATTATACCCCACTAGCACTATGTAGGGAAAAGGAAAAAAAAATTTGGCACATTATCAGAAGCAAAACTGCTTTCTCAAAACTGGGCTAAAGATTCTCCACTGAGTAAACTCAGTTGCAGTCAAAATAACAGCTGCTCCAAGGTCAATCAGTGAATGTAGTACCTGGACTCAGTCAGGAATATTTACTCCTGAGGGAGGGATGGTCCCCTCTTTCCAAAGCTCAGAACTTTACTCATCAGACTGTTGTCATTTGAGAATGCCAAAGTGTTACTTTTGAGCTCCTCACTCATAGCAAAGGTTGCCAGCACTGACAATGTCTGTCTCACAAGAACAGCAGATTAATCAACTAAAAATTAGCTAACAACTATGTTACTGCTTTCTAAGGGATCTTTGTCTAATTTTAGAACATTGTAACAAATAATATACTCAGACATGTAACTATGAAGTGAAACAAGATCATACTTTGAGAGCTTGTTTGGAGGTTCTAGCAGGGGAGCACAGCTACTCGTATACCCTTGACCGAAGAACGGTTCTCCTTTATCTGGGATGGTCATCCTCTTCCACCAAGCGCGCAGCTTCGGGAGGGACGCACATGGAGCGGTGAGGGAGGAAGGGGACACCCGCCTAGCCACCCAGATCAGCTGAATCAACCCTGGCGATCAATGAGGTGACAGATGTCGCAGCCAGATCGCCCTCACATCCAAGATCATACTTTGAAAGGAAGGATTTTCATAGGCTAGAGATACCACAACAAGGATAGCAGTATCTAAATGTATCCTAGCCACATAACCATTTCACTCCCATTCTAAAATTAAAATTTTCACTGCTAAAAGTGTTAGGAAAATAGCTTAATCCTGGAGAGAGGTGATCTTTAAACTATAAAGAAGGAAATTTGAGAAAGCTACCTTTTTTTTGGTTTGTTAACAAAACATTTAATGCCCCAAACCATCAGCTTATGCAATAAAACATGATGGACAGAACCGAAGCCCTAAATGACTCCTCCCAGATTCCCTTTTTCATCTCTCCTCAGACCATAACCACTATCCTGAATTTGGTGCCTCTTTCCTACATGTTTACATATTTTTTATTACATAAGTATGAATCCATAAAAAATACTGTAACATTATTTCTCATGCTTATTTTTGTAAATTTAATTTTATATAGGTTGAAAACATGACTACCCTGCACACAAATTAAAAAATCAAAATAATATACATATGCACAACACCCCCTGCTATCTAGTTTCCCTGCCTTGAGCAACTACTGTATCAGGTCATTGTGTATTCTTAAAGAGACACACTATACATACAGAAGCACACAAACACTGCCACTTACTATTATAGTAGTGTAACTCTTTGTTCATCCAAGCTTTCATGGGGGTGAGTGTGGAGGGGGCAAACTCTGCAAGGGAGTAGAGACTAACATCTTGACAACCAGGAAAAAAAAAAAAACCTCGTGAAATAATAATTCACATATAATCCCAAACTAACCCTAGTTTTCTATTTAAACTTTCCCTCAAAATGCTGTCATTAAGGACTGGAGGGAGGAGTGGCTCAAGTGGTAGAGCAGCCCCATTGCAAGCACAAAGCTCAGTTCAAACCCCAGTCCCACCAAAAAAAAAAAAAAAAAGCTGTCATTAAGTAACCAAATTTCTTATTACCCTCTTAACAATCAAATAATAATTACAAATTTACACCCCCTTCCCCAACAAATTAAATCACCTAAAAGTATGGCATATCATATTGAGAATTATTCTGTATATCACTGTCACATTTTTTGTTATATTATTTTTCTGTGCTAAATTTAACAATGTGTACAATAATTTTTAAAGCTCTATTCCAATTGTCTCAACTAAAATATATGGCCAATCCTATTATTTATAAGAATTCTTGTCAAACTAAGGCTAGTGTTAGTTAGCTACATTACCACTCAAGTGTCTATTTTTGCCTGCTCACTGAGCATTCACATTTCCCGTTCTCTCTCCAACCCTAACAATACCCATCTCTTTGGAGGTGTCTACCCTGCTGTACACTCCATTATCCAAGTACTTCAGAAAAAGATGCTCCCCCCCACCATACACACACCCATAATCAATGGTAGTTTACATTCTTCCAAGAGTAATCCCATCTCTATTTCTAGTGCCTAATTTAACTGGCATATGGTTTCCCTGGCCTCTGGGAATGGATGAGCCAATGAGATTAATAAGAACTAGACTGAGCTTCCTGGCTATGGAAAGAGGGCCATGGGAAGAATTGGATATTACTTGCTGGCAAAAACAATTTCAACTGTTTTATCAACATAAAAATGAACTGGCTGAAGTAGCGAGTGGTAATGGGTTGCCTACAATCTCAGTGCTTGAGGTTGAGGCAGAAAGATCACTAACCAGCTCAAGGTCAGCCTGACCTACACAGAGGCCCTCTTTCAAAAAGAAACAAAAGAAGTGAACGGGTTGAAAATTTTTGACCAACATCAATTAATATGTTTATGAGCAAATTTAATCATAATCATGAAACCTCTGATTCTTTAACTAATATCTGGCCTTCTATATCTGGAGAGGTGCTGATTCAGACACAGTATAGTATTTCAAGAAGGAACGTGTGGGTGGAGAAGTGAAGGTTAAGGAAAAAGCAGAGTCATTGGAGAAATTCACATCACAACAACATCAAAGATCAAATCCAGAAAATGAAAAATCTCTTCTTCCCTTCCAATCTGCTGAGCCAAAGCCATTTACCAAATACAGAAAGATATCTGACTCCACTTGGGTCTCTATCAGGGGAATGGTGAATACCATTATCAACGCAGAACTCTCAGAAGAGTAAGGTCATCAAGATCTTATCACTATTTTTAGGAGCATTAAAATGCGTTTCTTACAAACACCTGTGAATTTAAAAGTACTTTATAATTGCTAACAAGAAACAGCATAGCTAAAATTAAATAAAAACTGAAAAGGAGCCAGGCACTGAGTGACTCACACATGTAATCTAGCTACTCAGGAAGCAGAGATCAGGAGGATCAGGGTTCCACTACAGCCAGGGCATCACAAAAAAAGGGCTGATAGAGTGGCTCAAGTTGTATGCCCTGAGTTCTTTTTTTCAAAAAGAAAAAAAAAAACCAACCTGGAAAGGACACCTCTAATCCCAGCACTTGGGGGCCTGAGGTAGAAGGGCTGGGAATTACAGGCCAGGAGCCAGCCCCACCAACACAGCAAAACCATCTCCAAAAATAAAAAACAAAGGAGCTGGATGGCTGCAAGCCTCTAAGTGCACATGTGAGACCCTATCTGAAAAGTAAGAAAAGCAAAGGTAGTGCACCTGTCTAGGAAGCACAGGATCCTGAATTCAAAATCCAGCAGACCGCCCATCCCCCCCCAAAAAAAGATTACAGTGTTTAAGAAAAAAAAAAGGCACAGAAACATCTTGCTGGCCTAGTACCAACCTACACTAATTAATATCTGTTACTACCCTATTCTGGCATTTGCTTTTGATTTCCTTACATTATTGGTCTTGCTGATTTTTATAAGATTTATACATTTGCTTCCCTGTGGGCGATACAACAATTTTCCAATTCTGACTCAGAAAAGGCAAGAGAAGAAAGGTTCTTCTCTTCCATCCCTAGATAAAATCAGAAAATGTATACTTAGCTTTGGGAGGGCAAGACTGTTAATTCACTGTACAGATTTTCATGAATGTTTTCTTTCAAGTATTTACTAACAGCTTACCATACACCAAGTCATTGTCTATTATGTCTTCAGAATCAATGCATAAATTTTTTAATAGTTCCAAACTTCCCTCCTCTACATACCTAATGACAAAGTTAAATATTTTAAAAGGGGAAAACAGGTATGCATCACAAGCCTTGGGGGTAAGCCGGGGACAATTAAAACTTTCTGTGCCAGAACTGTTGTCCCAGAGAGCAAGTCTGTTATTTCCAGAATCCTTGTGCTTACACGAGAGTAAGAGTTCCTATTTCTTAGCTAAAAAAAAAGCTCCACTGATGTGCACTAAATTGAAATGTCAATATATTGTGAAAATAAATGGAAACGAACAGTACTAAAAGACTAATAAGTACCATCTGGAGACAAAATCTCCCCTACCTACCAGTTGGCACGCAAAACTCCTGAAAATTGGAAATACTGAAGCACAGAGCCTGCACTCAATGTAAACCACACATGCCAAATTTCGTACCGCTTTATGTTCATGAACTGCGCTGAAGGAAATCAGTGGCTTTTCCTATAAAATGGCTTTTTTTTTTTTTAATTCCGTAGGCGACCCGCAAAGCTACCTTAATTTTGGAGATCACACTGCACACTGAGGAACAGGAGGGGGGCAGGTAAGTGGACCGCCAAGGGTAGGGAGGAGGGACAGGCGACCCCAAGACCGCCCGGAGGCCAGGGGCTGGCCGTGCGCCAAGACATCACGCCGGGGCGGCGGAGGACGCGTCCCGGGGCTCGGCGAGACCCCGCGTCCACGCCGCACAGCTCCCGTGAGCTCCCTCCCGCACCTGGGCAGCTCCGCACCGAGCCATCCCCGCCCCTCGCGCAGACCGCCCCTCCGCCGCCGCGCCGTCGCTATGGCGACCGCCCCCACCCCGCCCTCTCCGCTGGACAGGCGCCGCGCCGCAGTCCCGCGGCGGCCTCGGGCTCCGCTTCCCCGGAGCCGAGACCGGGGCTGCCGCGCTAGGGACGAGGCACGCAGGCGCAGGGGAGGATGGAAAGGCGCGACAGGAGGAAGTCGCTGGGCTCCCGAGCTAGGCCGTGCCTCACCCCAGGGGTGCTCACCCTTCACTTTCCCGAAGGTACCGACGCCCAGCGTGTCCCCCAGGATGTAGTGGCCGATCTTCACCCGCCCGTCGTGTTTCTGCTTCTCGGCTGCCGCCATCTTTCTCCAGGAACTGAGTCTGCGCATGGCGCCTCGGGAGGGGGCGGAGGGGGCGGGCAGGGCCTGGCCGGGGGCGGGCGGCGAGGGGGTGGGGACGGAGGGCCGAGGCGAGCCGCCTCCCGGCGCCGCCGCCCAGTGCCCCAGCCGCCGCCGGGCGCAGACACCCCCCCTGGCGGGCGGGCGAGCGCGGGGACGGCACCGGTACTCGTTCCTCGCCCGCGTCCCCGGCCCGAGCCCCCGCCCACCGGCACGCGGGAGGGAGTTCCTGGATCCCGCGTCTGCGGTGGGGGGTGGGGGGGTCCTCCGCGGTGACCACTCCTCAGCCAGGGGTTGGCGGGCAGCTGTCCTTGCACTTACCGGGGGGCGGTGAGAACCGGTAAGAGGACGCAGGTGATGCAGTTAATGTTACTACTAATGCAGCGTGAATGGAAGCATGGCAGGGGGACACCGCCCTGCCACTATTTTCGAACCTTGATTTTCGTCTTTTTTGGGGGGATGGTATCTAGAAGCCACAGAGAGTTTTCACTTGCAGTGTAATAGTTTTCCTTCCCCTCCCCTTTCTTTTCTTTCTTTCTTTCTTTCTTTTTTAAACTGTGAGCTTAAGTTGCTGTTTGGTACCACGACAGCTCCAGAAGCCTGTTGGTCTTTTATAAGCGCTCTACCCCGAAATTTCCTCTGTTGCAAGTAGCTGCCTGTGATGTGTGTGAATGGATGTGTGCTCTGGAAAAGGTATGTTATCCAGAACTTTAAATGTACAGCAATTAATATTCTTAGGTTTTAGATGAAATGTACACTTTCACCGCTCTGAAAACAAAGGTTACAGTTACACCCACCAAATCAGTTGACAAATATTTATTGTATTTACAATGAATAATACTTAGTCTACTTTCTATATAAGTGAAACCACAACATTCCAGGGAAAGTAAAGTATGCTTATTTGTAGTAGAATTTTCAAGAGGTTTTCAATGTCACTCCACTAATAGCAAGCAAAATCAACCATAGGAACAACAAAAAACAGCTGGTGGAGTGACTCAAGTGGTAGAGCACCTGCCTAGCAAGTGTGAGACCCTGAGTTCAAACCCAGTACCTCCCAAAAAAGCAAAAAAAAGCAGTTTATATGCTCCCAGTTTTGCAGTGTCATAAAATTTGGGGCAGTGTCAATGAACAAAAAATAGCATACTTCATGAAATAGTATGAAAAAATAAAAGACTAAAAATGCCATTTTCTTCACAATGCAAATTATCAACTCCTCTGATTGTCTCCTTTTTTTTGCTTATGAAATCAAAGTAAAATACATTAAACATTGTTTGGTTCCCAGGAAAATATTGCAAGGAAAAGAAGAGTCCCCCGTCTTTGTGCTTAGAATTATACTTCATAAAGCAGTGAAGAGTATAACCAGCTCAGACAATCAAGTTCCTATTGTATATGGACTGCACTTTCTTTGAAGAGTAAAATGTTAACAAATCTTTGATTATAACACGTTTGCTATATTTGGATGGCAGGCAAGATAAGTTACTGGCTTCTTCACTTTTACCTTCTTACCTGTGAGTTCTGCAGCTCAGGCCTTTTGGAACACTAAAAAGCGGAAGTAGTTCTCTGCTTTCTGTTAGGGGAGAAAAAAATTCTCTTAACTTCACCCATCACCCTGAAATAGCATCTAAAATTACTTCAAATTTGCATCATGTCTAGGATTTATCCTAGAATGGTTCTACTATTTCTTTCAACCTGAAAGAAAATGATGACAAAATACTTCAGCTCTGTGCCAGTTATCTTGTAAAGGAACAAACTGAAGTTGAATTTTGCAATCCATTTGCCAATCTCTTCATGAAACTATGAACACTCAAGAATATAATTACGTTTTTTGACAGAAACGTTTCTGTTTTATGTTTTCAGAATAATTCTATCTACTAAATAGAATCAAAACCATTCTTAGGGAGACAAAAAGCCTAGAATTGTAGATCAAAAAGTTGGGTAGGAACTTAGGTCATCTTATCTGGTTTACTACAGTTTCAGTTTAAGCAACTCTGACTGCTAATGTTTTGAGGGTTTCCTAAAGTGTTTGTTGACTGCCAGACACAATGGCACATTTCATTTTTCAAAAACATGAAGAATCACGGTCCCTACCTTTGAGTACAGTCTATAGTAACATGTTCTACGGTTACAGTTTTCTAGTATTTCTCTGCACCAACCCTGATAGATAATAACTTGTGACTCAACATGTTGCATCACGTGGGTGCAGAGGTAAGTTAGAGAGTGGGCCACACCCAGTTCCTAACCTACCAGTTGTAACTTCACTGCTGTCTCAGCAAAGCAGTGGGCAGGAGTGATATAGAAGTTACTTGAATCCGTTCTACTTTAAAAAGGGTAAAAGTAAATAGTCTGCAAATTTTAATACTTCAGCTTTTATGAGAGCACGTAAGTTTTGCACAGATGAAGACATACCAGCATGACCCAACACTGTGGTGGAGCCACAGTGCTTCCTCTCTGACCTTTTGGTGCTTCTAAGAGAGCTGGCTCTCTTAGTGTTATTAGACTGCACTGCTGGTGGCCTTCGCATTTCCTCAACGTCCATGTCTATAGATGGTGGCTAGAACTAAAAATTCTATGTACTACACTGCTATTAGTGCAGCCTAATAGTTCCTTATCTTAGCTGTAGTTACATTATGGCTAATATTCAATATCAACTAAACAAAAACTATGTATTAAACAGTTTATTAGGCCCAAGGACTTAAAAAAAAAAAAATAAGGGTACACTGTATCTGCCTTCTAGTGGCAAACAAAGCAATGTGGTAAGTGCTATAAAAACATATATTGAATGAAAATAAAATGAAATTGTTCTAAGAAGGGGGGAGGGGAAGAATGATGGAGGGGGTAAATCTAAGATATATTGTAAGCACATATATAAACACCACAATGTATCCCCTGTATAACTATTATATGCTAATAAAATCATAAAAATAAACCATATTAGCTTAAAGAGCCTCGTGAAAGGAGGATATAACCCTTATCTATGGAGGTCTACCAAAACTTTAATATGTTTTCTACACAAAAATGTGGCCTGGGAGGAGAGAACTTGCAGGGGTTGAGGGGAAGACCCCAGGTGGAATGGGGGGAAGTATATGCAAAATCAGAGCGAAGTAAGCCTTTGTCTGTTTTAGGAAAGGCTAGTGGTCACAGATAGAATCTGTATGTACAGAGAAACTGTTAGAAGAAATGAGAAGGAAGTGGGAGTGAGTTATGAAAGACTCATGACATTGTGCTTCTGATCCTGAAGAGAGTGATGAGTCATGGGAAGATGGGACATACATGCATTTTAGAAATGCATTCTTTTCCTAAGAAATTGGTAGCTGTGGGTATCTTTGGGAAAGGGAATGGGTGACTAAGAATCAAATTTTGTTTAGTTTGGTGACACTGAAGTTTGAATTTAGGGACTCCCATTTGCTAAGCAGGGCTCTTACCACTTGAGCCACACTTCCAGCTCTTTCTTTTAGTTATTTTTCAGGTAGAGTATCACATTTTTGCCTCAGGGCCAGCCTCAGAATGTGATCCAGCTACTATGCCTTCTGCAGCTGAGAATACAGATGTGTACTACCACACCTGACTTATTGAGATGGGGGTCTCACATGTTTTTCTAGACTGGCATTGAATCACAATTCTCCCACTCCTAAGTAGCTGAGATTACAGGTATGAGCTTCAATGGTCTCTGTTAGAATCGCTTTTAGTGACTTACACTTAATCAGAAGGACTGAAAAACATGTGGATGGCTTAGCTAATTATTTGACTCTTCAGACTAGTAATTTCATCTCTTTCAAACAAATACTCTTTCAAAATTTTTCAACATTTATTTGAATGAAAGGTACAACCAAGCACCTTTGACTCACACCTGTATCCCTAGCTACTCAGGAGGCAGAGATCAGGAGGATCACGGTTCAAATTTGCAAATTGTTCGCAATACCCTATCTCGGAAATACCTACCACAAAAAAAAAAAATGTAGAAAAAGTTGATTGCGGGAGGAGTGTTCAGTGAACAGAGACCCTGAGATACCAGACCCTAACTTTTTAGACAGTAGGTAACAGGCATCTAACCATATATATTTGTAGGATGGGGAGTTTTAGCCCCACCATGTGGTTTGCCAAAGTAGTTCTTTTTTGCTACATCCTTCTAAGAGCTCAGGTAAAAAGCTGACAAATGGGAACTCCACTGATGTTTTGGTACCTCAGAGATGGATATTATGCCTTATACACTGGCTCCTCTGGAGCTACCCAGTTTGGTTCTCTTTAACTTTGTGTGCTGTGTTCTATGGTGCATTTATGCACCAAGCAATACTGTAAGAAAACAGATTTACAAAGCTTCTCCAATCCAGCAGATCCAAATCCAGCCATTCTAGTAGTATAATATTTCATTATGGTTTAAATTTACATTTCCCTTATAACTAATGATGTTGAGCATATTTTCATGGGTTTATTTGCCATGCATATTTATTCTTTGCTGACTTATTTGTTCTAATCTTTTGCTCATTAAAAAAGTTTATGTTTTAAATTATTCTCAATACAAATCATTTATTACATGTTTTGGATATTACTTTCTCCAAATCAGTCTTGTTTTTTTTAATTCTCTTGTGTCTTTTAAAGAACTTCTGATGAAGTCCAGTGTACTTTTTTCTTTTTATGGGTGTTTTTTATGCCATATCTAAGAAATCTTTGCCTAATCAAACATCAGTTTTTCTTCTGTTTTTCCCAAAGATTTTTATAGTTGTAGTTTTTGTATTTAAACCTTTGATCCTTCTTGACTTAATAGCATGAGGCAAGGGTTGAGAGTTTATTATTTATTTTTTATTTTTGTGTGGCCCTCGGTTTGATCCCAGCATGCTAAGCACAGGCTCTACTACTGAGCTACACTCTCAGCCCACTTCTTTTTTAAAATTTTGTATATAAATGTCTAATTGTTCCAGTACAGTACCATTTGTTGAAAAGTCTATTTGTTCTCTAATTACTTGGGCATCTTTGTTAAGACTCCATTAACCAGA